AAATAAATAAATATTTTATGTAAAAAAATTTAAAGAAACATGATAAAAGTTCTTGAGTAACTCGCTTATTTAAAAAAGGGAGAACGTTGTGGGAGTTTAATTTAGGGGGAAAGGTGAGTAAAGAAGAACATGACAGAGACGGAACTTCAATGTAAGGTGTTATAAATAATAACGTTATCCATAACATGTTACTTTTGGAGATAATGAGGGAACAATGATGCTCCTTTTGCAAATAATATAACAACAGGTATTTTTCTTTTCATGTTACAAGTAATATTGACTCATTACTTTCTCTCTCTTTACTTTCTCAATTTTTAAGGGCTAAATATACTTTTTTGGAGGGCATTCTGAGCCAATTTTTTCCCGCAACACACAAAAAGAAAAAGAACAATTAATATAATCAGCTACAATTTATTTGTCATAATTTTGTAATGAATTACCTTTGGGCAAAATAATTAAATATGTTTTCAGAAGTAACTTACTTGCCTAGACACATATAAAATGAGAGCCACTATGCCCCCTCCCTGCTCCCCAATTTTCAAAAGGGTACGAAAGACTGGACTTCGTAAAGAAGTGTTTAAAGTCATCCTCCCCCAGTCTCCTGGTTCCACCATCATTTAGGTTTGATTCCACTAAATGTAGTGCTTGTCACTAAGTCAGCAGATATTTTAATATTTGAAATACATAAATAAAATCTTTAAAAAGTTATGCATAGTGTGTTATGCAGACACTCCACCGATATCAGCAGAGCTCTTTAAGAATATAGAGCAAAAACACTGACTTAGCACCGAATGAAGCCTCAGCTGGTGTCCTCCTGCTTTTATGCTGCACTGGTGGACCTGAATGGACCTTCCACCTCTCAGGTCTGCCGACCAGCAATCAACACTGACTTAGCACTGACTGAAGCCTCAGCTGGTGATGGACCTGAATGGACCTTCCACCTCTCAGGTCTGCCGACCAGCAATCTTGCCTGCCCACCAGTCATGCTGGCCAATCAGGGCCTGTCTGTGAAATCCTGGCAGGGTGCTTTGTTCCCAGGTTCCCTTGTGGCACAGCCAGTGGGGGCTGCCATGTTTGATTATGCTGGGAATGAGGGAGGCCAGGCCGCTACCCCAGCCACAACATGGAGACCAGGTAAGTCTGGGTCCCTTCTTTAAGGATACAGACACTGTGGTCCAGTGGTTACAGTGTAAGATCCGAGGGGCTTTCTGGCAATGCTTGTGAAATGCCTTTGGCTTATCCAATCAACCTTTCTTAGCCTAAGGATTATTAGGAAAGGAATAAAGAAAGGATAGAATAAAAACATATGCACAAATTTCAGAACTCTATGCGCTTAATAATTATAAAGCTTTCCTTCCAAAAAATTGTTGATGACCAGTTTGCAGTGTTGTTTATATTGTTGCTAAGCGAACCTGCTCAACTGGGCAATTTAAGAGGGAGACCGAGTCTTCGCTTCAATGAAATGTTGCTTCATAGAAGAAAACAGTATAAACAGGTACTGAAACCTTGTTCCAGGCACTACCTGACAATCTCAAAGGTTGATAGTTTCCAACATCTAACATTCCAAGTATGAAAAACAAGCAAATTTAAAGCCATGTCTCCTTGCTAGTACAACCATAAATCTGTTCTATGGCATTTTGTATCGGAATCTGAAGATGTCAAAACATGCCAGGAAAGATTTAATAATTACTAGCTTCTTTCACTTCTACAGAGCAGGAATGAAGGAGTCAAGAGTTTCACAAGGAGACTAGAAGTTGCTCAGGTTGCTAGAGTAAAGAGCAATCAAACACACAATTCCTAAGTCAAAGGTGGCAACGGATGGACCTCTATTGGCCACATCACAGACAGAACTACATCTTGTACTTTCTGATTACAGTAACACACGCTGAGCAACCGAGCAATGCACAAATCCAGCAGTAAGCCATCACCAGATACAGTAGTTGCAATCCTTTACATTCTTATTAATTTATATACAAGCTTATTAAATTCCCACTAGCTAGTTGCAATCCTCTCTACACCTCTCTGGGAGCAACCAAGAATATTCAAGACCAGCTAAATCAGTGGCCAATCTAGAGCAATGCACAAATACAGCAGTAAGCCATCACCAGATAGTTGCAATCCTATGGATTCTTATTAATTTATATACAAGCTTATTAAACTCCCACTAGTTAGTTGCAATCCTCTCTACACTTCTCTGGGAGCAACCAAGAATATTCAAGACCAGCTAAATCAGTGGCCAATCTGCTCCTGCATTCTATACCTGCAGTGGCCATCCGGATGCTGCCACAGGTGGGAAGACAAGAAAGGCAAAGATGTCAATGCAACAGCATTTGCCTGCTCCTGTTCTTTATCAACCAGCATGCAGAGGCACTCCACTTACGAAACAGGGGATTAAATATAGCCTGAAGGCAACAGGAAAAGAGAAGAACCAAACACGAAATGGATTTGCTCAATAATGGAAGCCCCAGTCTTGGGTTTGCAAGATTTGAACAGGGCTGTTCACAACAGGTTCTTTCAGAGATCATTCCTTCACAGGGTCTTCATAAGTCAGAGACACCTCAACGGCGTATAACACAACAATATATAATCTTCCTGATGAGTAGTGATAGCTGCCATGAGTTGGTACCCTCTTATTTCCAAACTGTCCAAGTTGGCAGCTATCATGACATCTGTGACAGCGAATTCCACACTCTAATGATATGAAATATAAAGAAATGTGTCTTTTTAAAAATGTCTGAATTTCCTACTAGTTGGCTTCTTTGGATGTTCGTGCCTTCTGGTGTTTTCAGAGAAAAAGAAAATCTTACCTAGCTACTTTCTATAGACCATGCATAATTTCATGGACCTCTAAAAGGTCCGTTCTCCTTAATCTCCTCACTCCACCAAATGTCCTAACCATTTTTCAAAGGGGAGTCACTCCAGCCTTGGTTACCCAACATTAGGAACCACTGCTTTAACCCAATCTATTTACATTAATCTACATTTTTAGGAAGGGAAAGCATGTTCTCCAAAAATGGATACAACGGGTCAACTTTTAGAGCTTGGAATCCTTTTTTTGTGGGGGGGGGCTTACAGCACCTAGAATTTCTTGGCCAGCAGGGCAACTGCCCATGATGACTAGGGGATTTTGCAGTTCAAAAAAGTAACTCCTCCAAGTTTGGTAAAAACTGGCTTGAAACATCTAGGGAAGTGTCTGACAGACAACTGAATTCTGATCTGCACTGCAGGTCATTTTGTGCAAGAATTTACTAACTGCTTTTTTCCCTCATTTCCCAGTATCTACATAATGCGTCACGGCAATGCAGTTGAAAAGAACTGAGTCAGAACTTCCGACATTACAGAAGAATAGCAGAATTCAATACCATTTGTGACTCTATAGTGAATTTAAAATACTCTTTCATATCCAGTACACACTGAGGACTGATTTTGCACAGACACATTCTCTCTCTCTCTTTCACCTGTCTCTGGGCTGGTGAGTTCATATTTGTGGGGCACTGAATCCCTTGGGTTTTAGTCTGGACTTTACCAGACCTAAGCCTATTTTGGAGTTGGGTTCAGCACTTTGTGTAGCTCTTGCAAAGTTCAGAGTCAGACCTGGAGCAGAAACAACACCTCCACAAAATTTGAGCTACCCGCCTCCCTTGCATAAGCCTCTTCCAAGAGCTGCCCCAAAAGCATTTGCTCAGATCTGTAGGGACGGAAGACAGTTGTAACCCCATGTATGTCAGCAACTCATGCAAAGTACATTTGGCTCCTTCCCTATTTTCTTTTAGAGCAGTTGAAGATACTTTTTAAAAAAAAACTTTTTAATCTGCCTTTGGTTAAAAATGGGTTGATTATACTTTAATGTTGCTCTTTTTCTTCTTCTTTAAATTCAATACAGTTGATTCTGTGCTATTTCTTCTCTTTGATAAATAGATAGATAAAACTTTATTGCAGTCAAACAACCAGCCACAAATAAAACATCAAAATATATAAATATACAGAAGTATACAAAAATATATCTCTTTGATGTATTTTATGCTGCTCTTTTAGCCTTTGATTTGTTTACTTTTTAATATCTTACATTTCCAGAGTTTTGCTTATCCTTAGCTCAAATCTGTTTAAATAATTCTATTACAAATGTCTGTCTCTTCCTACTTGTGCCTCTACCTCTACTTCTGTTGCCACTGTAGTATTATTTCCAGCTTCCTGGATCATTTCACAAGGGCCAAAGAACGTCCTTTAAAGAAACTACGCACTAATTATTCTGCTTTTCAGATGAGGAGTGATTCATTACATTTTGATAAATGCAGTTGCAATTTAGTGACCTGTCTTCATCATGGAAAAGAGATCAATAAGTTGCTGGCACGTAGACTTCGATACATGTTTCAAAGCCAATAGGAAGAGGGTAAAAAAACCATATAGAGAGGAGAGAGAGAAAGACAGAAAGACAGATGTACAGACACAAAACACCCATGTTCAGTATGTATAGAGAGTGCTCTACCTTGTGAGCCCATGTAAACTGCTTGGACAAGAAGCGCCCCCATAAAACAGCCAGTTCCACTGAAGCAACTCAATACTTGCAGGGCAAACGCACGAATTCTGCCTGGCACAAATCGGAATACAATGAAGGCACCTTTGCAAAACAAGAAGAAAAGGGAAAGTGTCTGAAAGAAAACAGGAGCAGGGGGAGAGTGATATAGTTCTCCTTGCTGCATCTGTATCGTGTCTCACAATGCAACGTTTGCAGGGAAATCGGGACTCCATATTAGCACTGAAAATAGACTGGTGCTGTCAACTCTTGACTGCCAATGGGACTCTCAAGGTTTTCAGGAAGAAGTCTCTCCAAGCCCTGCCTGAAAATGCAACTGATATTCATTTTTAGTCTTATATCTAAGTACCAACGAGGCCCAAATTGCTTTAGCTTCTGAAATCACATATTTTGGTAAGTTGGTAAGGGGTGAGAATATGTCACAGGGGTGTAATGTAGGGCAGGAGTTCCTTGTTTGCTGTAACTTGTAAACCTCCCCCTAACTGGCCCTATGAGAGGGTTCATTACAGATCCAGATCTAAGTCCTGTTCAAGCATTATGCCCAAACATTGTACCTAAATATTGGCAAATGGCAGGGGTCATCCCCTTGGCTCTGTATTTAGCAGTGAAGAAGGCCCCTAATAATCTTCCTTTGGATGTGAATGGACCTCCCCACCATTCTCTCATAGATGTGATGGTTAGGAACATAAAGTCAGCTTCCTGTCCAAACATGAGGCTACCCAGCTTTAGAACATCCACCCATGTAAAATGGCTATTGAACCCTCTGTTTAAAATGAAGGAGAGCCCACCACCTTCTAAGATCACCCTTTCTATTACTGAACAGCTCTTAATAACAAGTTCTTCCTGATGTTTATTTGGAATCTATGTTGATTTGAACCCTACTCAACAAAAAACGTGGTGGCGCTGCGGGCTAAACAAGGGACGTGGTGGCGCTGCGGGCTAAACCGCAGAAGCCTGTACTGCAGGGTCAGAAGACCAAGCAGTCGAAAGATCGAATCCACGCGACAGAGTGAGCGCCCGTCACTTGTCCCAGCTCCCGCCAACCTAGCGGTTCGAAAGCATGCAAATGCAAGTAGATAAATAGGGACCACTTTGGTGGGAAGGTAACAGTGTTCCGTGTCTAAGTCACACTGGCCATGTGACCACGGAAGATTGTCTTCGGACAAAAACGCTGGCTCTATGGCTTGGAAACGGGGATGAGCATCGCCCCCTAGAGTTGGACACGACTGGACAAAAATTGTCAAGGGGAACCTTTACCTTTACCTTTACCAGCAAAAAACCAACCCTGCTCTATCTTCCATGTAACAACCTTCATATATCTGAAAATGGCTATCACATTACACCTCAACCTTTTCTTCTTCAGGTTGAACAATCTCCATATGACTTTGTCACTAGACCCTTTACAATTCTTCTTGCCCCTCTCTACAGATGTTCCAGCTTGCTGAAATCCATCTGAAACATTATCCTTCCATCGACAGGGAAATTTGTTATGAGTCCCCACAGGTTGGGGCTGCCATCTCTGGATTTCCACAGGGGCCTGTCTTTCACACCTTCATGAAACGGTTACGGATGGCAAGCCCCACCACAAGCAGTTTTCTCTTAACCGCAAAGATTATTGTTCAGGAAGCAATAACCGCAAGTATGACAAATGAGGCTCTCCCCATGCAAATGATGAATGAGCTTGCTCAGGAAAGCGGTGGAAGGGTGCCAGAGGTGAAGCTTCTGATGAAAGGTACTTCCACAGACCCTGTTCAAACAGATGTCATTCTGTGCTCAACTCTGTTGATTTTTTTAGGACTAGAAAATGAAATAAAATTGTCTTCTTACATGTGGGAGTCACCAGAGCTTCTGCCACACCGAGCAAGATGTATTGCAGGGCCAGATGGATGCCCGGCATGGAAGAAATAAGGAGTACTTTGCCTGAAAAAGTCTGTTCCACCAACGGGAAATGTTTCCTGCGTACTTCAAAAAATCCAGCAGCCATCACAGACAAGGTGGCAGATGTGTAACCTACAATGGAGTACAACAAGCACAGAATATACAAAACCATTATGGATTACATCTTGTTTCCAGAATTGCCCCCATTACGTTGCAGGAAAGCAGGAAGATTCTGTTTGTGCTCTTGGATTCATTTGAATTCGTGTTCTGTTGGATATCCAGTCCCTTAAAGGCCATTTGTCACCAAACCCACCACCTTTTCTTTGGGAGTCGTTTTTCATTCAACCAGTTTTGCTGCCTCATTAGGAAATTTTCTCAAATTTACCAAGCTTTCCAATATTTTTCCAGATCTCACATTTGCAAAAAAAAATGTATACTCTTCAGCCACAACAACTGTGTTATTCTCCTCTTAAAGGTCTACCCAAACCATTAATCACAAGGGTCTTTCCAGGCAAAACTTCTTGCTCATTAGGCAGAATCATCCAGGTTTGGGGGATGTATGAGTCTGTGCGTGTGTGTTTCTCAGTACAGTTCACAGACATGGATGATTTTATTATTTTTAAAGAGTAGAAGTTAACATTTGAAGTAGGATTGTTGCTTCATTTTTTAAGAACAGCAAATGCACCAAATGACTCAAAGAATAATTAAGTTAATGTGACACAATCCAAGGCACGTGTGAAGTGCCTTCTGTGAATCGCTAAACTGAATCAGTGTCGGTAACAGATACACCAAGTTAAAGGAGGTTTTTCCAGTGAGAATCAATTTGGTCATTTGTCAAATATGCATAGTTACATTATAACTATCAAACACTTACATTTCATTTTCACCTCATGAAACAAACTGCTCTCTTTTATCCTCCACCCATTAATTAGAACCTTCCTTCTATACCTCAAGCAGGGCCTTTTTATTTTTCTTTACCCCTTTAAAAAAAATTATTATCTTGGGGAGACTCCGTTTCAACCAAGATGGAGTGGAGCAGAAAAGGAGCACAAACAGGACAAGGCACAAGACAAGCAACAAGACTGGATAAGACAAGAGCCAACACAAGATTGTGGAGTAACCAGGTTATTAGGATTCCCAGCTCAGCAGCATTCCATCCCCTGTGATTTCAAGACCAAAACACAGAACATTGTTATGCAAGAATTGGGATTCAAGTCATAGGACACACTGTCAAGTTGGACGTCAGTCGTACTGGCTACTCGAGTCAGCTTGGTTTGGTTTTCCCCCCCAGAGACTTGGATTCAACTTGTAACTCAGAACCCATCCACTCCTCCCTTTTTCATGGGAGAAAAGGCTTGCTTTTAATAGGGACTCATACTTGGGACTTGGTACCAAAGTCTTGCCAATGCTCCTGCTGTTACGTGACAGGAGAAGGCAAGCGGCACCTTCACAATGCTTCTGGGACATGATGTGCCTGGCTTGGGATCAAAAATGGAGGTGTCAAGAGTAGAGATGTATATGAATATCCCCGCACAGGTGGAAATAACGAGGGTCCAGCCCCATGGGGCCAGACTGTCCATTCATGATTTTGCCACTGCCGCTGGCTCTGCGGAGACTTCCTATCACGCTGTTCTCCTCAATGAATTAGTCACTCTCCAACCTAGCAGAGAGGCTTGTCATCCTGCCTCCTGCCAGGAGTGGGTAATCGATTGTGGACAACGGCGTGATAGGAAGGCACCGCGGAGCCAGCGGCAGTTGTGAAATTGTGAGTGGACAGTCTGCCCTCATGGGGCCAGACCCTCATTATTTCCACCTCTGCTGGGATAAAGGAAAAGGCAAAGGTTCCCCTTGACAATTTTTGTCCAGTCGTGTTCGACTCTAGGGGGCGGTGCTCATCCCCGTTTCCAAGCCATAGAGCCAGTGTTTTGTCCGAAGACAATCTTCTGTGGTCACATGGCCAGTATGACTTAGACACGGAACGCTGTTACCTTCCCACCGAGGTGGTCCCTATTAATCTACTTGCATTTGCATGCTTTTGAACTACTAGGTTGGCGGGAGCTGGGACAAGCGACGGGTGCTCACTCTGTTGCGTGGATTCGATCTTACGACTGCTTGGTCTTCTGACCCTGCAACACAGGCTTCTGTGGTTTAGCCCACAGCGCCACCACGTCTCCTATACAAATACGAATACCCCGATCTCTAGTCAAGAGCGTCAGCCCAGACAAGTCCAGGGCACAGTGAAAATGGTCCTGGGACTCTCAGAAGTTGTCCACCGATGGCTTTGAATGAAATATCAATGCAGCCATGGACTCAGAAACCAAACTGAGGTAACGGCAGTGACCAAAGGGACATAAGCTTGGGAGAGAAGTGCACTGTCTTGCTTCCATCCTGCACGCTATTGCCTGTGCCATGTCAGCAAAACTGACTTCAAGGAATCAGGGAAACTGCCATGAGAACTCTCTGCAGGACACCAAGGGAAACATTTAACCTTTCGAACCTTTGCAGCTTCATTAGTCTTCAAGATTTTGAGACGCAACCCGAAGAATTCTCAGCTCTGCTATCCGAGGGTTCTTTTCTGCAGCTCAACCGCAACGTTATTTTATTTTAAATCCTGAATAATTGCCACCTGCTGTTTCCTACGCTCCTGCTTTGCACAAAGCTGAACAACAAACTTAATTAGGCTAATTCTAGTCAGATTAATACTTCCTGTCTTTCGGGCGCTGGCTGTGCCACATGCTGCAGGGGTGCCGAATTAAATACAGAGAGCATTGGGAAATGTTGATTTCTAAGTGTGCCTGTGTTTTAAACTGCGCTGCAGGATGGGAGAGAGTTTAAATAGGAAGAGCACTCCAGTTGTTCAATTCATGCAAACAGGAATTGATTTCCAAACTGAAAATTGCTAGATGGCTCTTTATGTTAGAAAGATAAAGTACCTAGAATGGAAGAGATTCTCTTTCCTACAGTTATCTACTGTAAAGCAAAAGCAAAGTGTGCTGCTTATTTACCGCCCCATCATGCTTAAGGCACTCTCTGGGCACTTTATAATTCAATTATGCAGGCTACCCATTGTGTCCCCATTAGTGAGCGGGGTACTCAGAGTATCAAGCTTGGAGGGATGGGAGGCTGCATCAAACTCCAGCCAGCAACCTCAGCCAGGGATCGAACTTAAGTTGTGAGCAGAGTGTCAACAAGTCAGAAAATACAAATCAAATACTGAATCCATATAAAATATTTTTTTCTCAGGTACATCTAGTAGCAACACAAATCAATAGATAATGCAACAAGCTCCTTTTCAGTCATTGCAATAAAGAACAGAAATTTTCAACTTTACTTTATTTAGACTTATACCCCGCCCCTCTAGACGAAGTCTATTCGGGGCAGCTTACAAAAAACGATAAAATACAACAGAATGTAACATGTAATGGAATGAAATTGCCTTTCAGATGTAACTTTCCAGCATCTAGCAAGGTACCATACAGAGCAGTGTCAAGACAGGAAACGTTATGCAAGCTCTATAATCCAAGCTATCTTGGGATATCTTGTTCTATGCCTGCTATTTCTTCAGAAATCAGAAATCCCTTACTCTTCCTCCATTATACTTTGTGATTATTATTATTGTAGTAGTAGTAGTGATGGTGGTGTTTGTTAATTACATTTCTACCCTGAGTCTCCATTACTAATTAGTGCTCAAGGCAGTTTGCTATCATAAAAGGAAAAAAAAAAAGAATAACAACAGTTAAAAGAAATTCAACCAAATATTATCACAGTTCAACAAATCCAAACAAGATTATAAAAAGGGATTAATATAAACAAATCCACAGATTAAAATAATCTCAATAAATTAAACAGTAGAACTTAATCATATTTTAGAAGCAGTATGGCAGAAGTCTCTCAGCTAATGGAAAAAACCTTCTCATTGAGTTATAGTATTTTTTTTTTTCTTATGGCTTGTAATTCATGAAACCTCACAAAGAAATAAACTTATTAGGCTTAATGATGCCACGAGATTTTTCTTATCATTTTTAAGTTGACTGAGTAAGTTGGGTTGTGCCATGCTTACTTCATCCTTTGAATATTAAATAAAGAGAGAGAGAATACAGAATTTTTGAACAGTTGAACAACCAACATTCAAGTGTTCTCTTAACGAGCATTACTCATTTAATGGGCCTATTCTACTGGGAAGTAAATAGTGACTCCAAAGCAATAGCTCTTGTCTACAGAAACCAGTATTAGTTTCGTTTTTACTACTCACCGATACAAATGGTTGGGGACCATCCACTTGTTTTGGTGTTAAAGAGACAAGCGAGGAGACACTCTAGAACAGGAGCCAGAATTACGAACGGCAGAATGCTTATCAGATTCATGGCTGCTATGGGCAAGAGAAATCCATGCAGGTTCAAATTCGAATTCATTGTCTGCAGGTAATATCCTGAAGATATCTGGCACGGAAAGAAGGGAAGCACTTCGTTTTGATTGTCGATCATAAAAAATTATATCTGTTTGTTACAAGTACAGGATCTCTTAGGCTTCCTGCCCCCCCCCCACATAACCCATTGTACAGGTGCGTACCTTAATCCAGACCAAAACCAAAGTTACAAGGAAATCAGTACAGTATAACTGGACTGAGAGAGAAAGGACAGAAACATGTTTATTCTCATCATTTATACCCCATTTAATTATTCCCCCCTTCAAAGTAGTTTGCACAAAGGAACAAAAGACCACAATAGAACACAATCATAACAAATCCAGGCGAACAATTCTTATTTCACAGACCTGAGAGTTTGTGGAAACTTCCTTTTTACAAATGGCTTTATAAAGATACAGGGTTCAATGTTTGTGAATAAAATGGTGGCACTTGTATGTTACAGGATAAAACAATATATGTGTTATTACTTTGTTACATCTGGAAATCTCTTTTTTTGCCAAATTAGAGCAATAGATAAATAGATAATGCGAGAACTTAAGTGCGGAATTTAATGTGATGAACCCAGCTCAAATAATTTACTTATTTTAAGGCTGCACTCTTACATATCACTGGTTCTTAGTCTTGAGTCTTCTAGAAGCTTTGGACTTTAGCTCCCAGGCAGCTTTCCCACACACTGGCCATGCAGATGAGGGCTGCTGGAAGTTGCAGTGGAAAATGTACGTACGTCTCTCTCTCTCTCTCTCTCTCTCTCTCTCTCTCTGTGTGTGTGTGTGGCGAAGAGAGGGTATGACCAAGAAAGGGGGAAACACACACAGAGAGAGAAAAGGATGAGAAGGTCTAGCAGAGAGAAAGAGAGACAGGGAGGGAGGGTGAGGAGGAAGGATGCCTGGGAGGGAGGGAGGGAGAAAGGAAGTGTCCCCATGTATTTTTTCTTTTGGCCTGCCATCACTAGTTTCAGCCATGCACACAGATGGTATTGGGCCTCCAACGGAACCACAACAGAATCCAGCCTTTGACTGAGAAGGGATTCCCTACCTTCTCTCCATTCTACGTACTGTACCATAATGATACCAGGTGTATCTTTTGTTGGAGTTAGAGATAAGTTCTGTTCCTTTCAAGTGATCTAATTTCTCCACAACATACCTATTTTTATCTATTACGTTAATACGCCCATGGATGCTGAACCTCTGCACCTTCAACGCACTTAATTGGTCTGCTGCGCCCCACACAGCTGGTCTGATTTGGCCGGATCCAAATCAAAGTGGAGACTTGGGTTTCATGAAGAAGTGAGGCAGCCACAGACACCGAGATGGCAGGGAGGAAGGTATTAATAATTAAGGCCCATTTGGGATAGTGGCTGTTGATGATTATAATTTGGGGACTTTTAAAGAAGTTTTAATAGGGTATTAGCTAATGGGTACATGGGTTAAAGGTGACTAAAAACTACATTTAACCCAAATGTCCTACATAGACCTATTCTCTGTTAAGTTACGTAATTCTTTTCAAAACTCTCCAAAGCCAGGGGCCATAACCTCATCCAATAGAGGTGAATTCAATAAATTAATTATGCATCGTTGGAAAAAGCACATTGTTTTCTTCGTCCTCAAGTCGGTGCCTACTTGCTTCATTGTGGGACCTCCAATTCTAGCATTATGGGAGCAGGGAAAGCATGGGAAGAAAAAGTTCTTCTCTCCTCAGTTTGCATCCATAATCCAGTCATTCGGTTATGGAGAGACATCAGACCTAAGAGGCGCTCTTTACTTTTTCACCAGGACACTGAGATGTACCGAAACAAAGTGGTAGCTGGTATGGATGGGTGGGGAGGGGAATGACATCATGAACTGGGATATCCTCATGGGTCACATGTTGGGATGACCTGCTTTCAAAGACAGGAACAAAGAAAAGTGCCTTCTACCGAGATGGAGCAGTGCTCCATGTCGCCCAGTATTGCCGACTCTCATTGACACCAATGCCTTTCAGGACTCCAGTCAGGATTCTTTCTTACTTGGAGATCCCTGGTACGCTGTGATGGTCGCCCTTCCAGGTACAAATCAGATCTGACCCTGCTTAGCTTTCATAACCAGCTGAGTTCTGAGTGATATGGTAGCACACACTGACCTTGTAGATACTACAAATCAGCAGTGCTAATAGCCCATTTTTAAAGGACAATGAAAGCCTTTGTACTGCTACTGATAAAAATACTGTATAGAAAGTCAGAGAGCCTTGGTCATCTGTTGCAAATCATCCTGGGATTAAGGAGGAAAGCCCAGTTTCATTTCTGCCCACTCATTCTAAAAAACATTTATAGCCCAATTAGTTTCTTCCGATGCTAAACAAAAAATGTTTTAAACCTTCTAGCCTATTCTCATTGGAAGGATGTCCCCCAGCTTTTTTCAACATTTTGCATTTCTCTTTTCCTCTTTTCATTTTCACAGTGTCCTGAAGAGGGCACTGAGATCTATCTTCTTTCGGCTTCAGAATCTAACACGGCACATTATTGTGCAGTCAAAATATGCCACCCAAAGATTGAAATCCTGCTGCTTAGTTTAGTAACTTGTTCTTCAGGAGGCCCACTGAATCAGTCAAGCCGTGGTGAATCAACCCTTCCATAAGTCCCACTGAGTCAAATGAGTCTACTTTAGTTGCTACTTACTTTGGCATAGTAAGTTGCAGCTAGAGTAGGCCCATTTGGCTCACGAAATCCCCACTAACTCAACGGGCCTGCTCTAGTGTGACTTACGATGCTTAACAACAGGATTTTAGCCAAAGACTTTCAAAAGATAATCCCGTTGGATCATGTTGTAAGACTGCAGGACCATGCGCGATTTGGTAAGATTAAATCTGACATACAGTAGAGCTGAAATGTGGGTGGATGTAATTCCCACCACAGGTTACAGAACCATGGAATCAGAATAATTGAGTTGGAAAGGGCATATAAGGACATTAAGTCCAACCCCCTGCTCAATGCAAGGATCCAAATCAAATTATATCTGACAGATAGCTGTCCTATTTTCTCTTGAATACCTCCACCACTGGAGCACTCACCACCTCCCCAGGTAATTGATCCATTGTTGTACTGCTCTAAGAGAGTTTCTCCTGATATTCAGCCAAAATCTGGCTTCTTGTATCTTGAGCCCATCATTATGTGTCTTGCACTCTGGGATAATTGAGAACAGATCCTGCCTCTACTCTACAGTGGACCCTTGACTTACAGACGGCTTGACTTACAGACTTTTTGAGTTACAGACTTCTCTGGCCGCAAAATTTAGGTTTGACTTGCAGACTGAGATTTGACTTACAGACCAGACCAAAATGGAACAAAAACTGCCTGTTACGGGATTAATCGGTTTTCAATGCACTGTAGGTCAATGGAGACTTGACTTACAGACTTTTTGACTTGAGAACCGCCTTCCAATACGGATTAAGTTCTCAAGTCAAGACCCCACTGTATATGACTAACTTTCAAGCACTTGGATAGTGCTATCATGTCTCCCCTCAGTCTTCTTGTCTCAAGGCAAAACATGCCCAGTTCAGTATCTGCCTGCCTGCCTGCCTGCCTGCCTACCTACCTGCCTGCCCGCCTACCTACCTAACCACCCACCCACCCAGTTATTCGGGCCAATGACCAGACACAATCAAAAGCACAAGGAAAATGCTTCCTTCCCTTGTATCATAATTTGCCCGCTGTGGCATGTACACAAATGCACTTGGAAGCAAAAGAGTCACACACTTACCTGCATGACACATATTCGGTAAATTATCTGGAAGGCAAAGAGGGGAAAGAGACGGACAAGCATTTTTGTGCTTTCCACTTGAGTTTCACTGTACCGGCCACCCTCGTTTTCCTTGGCATGGTCTAGCCAGTTTGTGACATTCCCATGGAAATAGCGACATTTTACACAACACGCCTTCAGTGCATTCACAACCACACCAAAGATGTTTAATGGGCAACTATCTGTGGAAAAGTGAGAAAGGTCAAGACTACACAATAAAGCCCTCCTAATTGTGCACATTCTTGTTCTTTCAGTCACATTATTGCACAAGGTGCTGTGTATAAAGCACAGTCCGTTTCCAGGAGAGCTGAAGAGAGCCAGGACTGAAGTATATCGTCTGGAACCTAGATAGCTAGCCAGGGCTGCCATTTAAGGGTAGACCAGTGGAATGAAAAAGTGCTAGCAAGGAGCAAGCAAAAAAGGAGCGAAGAGTTTACAAAACTAATTATTTATTTTAATTTTTAAATTCAAAATATTTATATATGCTGCTTTTCTCATGAAGGATCAAGGTGGCTTATAGTATTAAAAGAACAAAGATGAAAGCCAAATAATAAATGATTATTACAATCTATTAAACAATTATTAAACAATTTATTAAATAATTACACTTATTATCCAATTATCAAACAAATATCGCATTAAAACTAATAATAAGAACAATACAAAAAACACAAACACAGAATAAAATGCTCCTGTAAAAATTCCCCCTGGTCAACCAATCAGTTAACGGAAAGCCTGCCTGAAGAGAAAGTTCTTTGCCATAAAAAAATCCCCCTGGTCAACCAATCACTTAATGGAAAGCCTGCCTGTAGAGAATGTTCTTTGCCTGCTTGCGGAAAGACAGCAATGATGGGCCCAGCCTGGCCTCCAGTGGGAGGGAGTTCCAAAGTCTGGGAGCAGCGACAGTGAAAGCCCTCTCCCATGTCTCCACCAAACACACCTGTGAAGGTGGTGGGACGGAGAGAAAGGCCTCTCCTGATAATAGCAATATCCAGGTAGGCTCATAATGGGAGATACACTGAATATCAATACCCAGGTAGGCTCATAATGGGAGATACACTGTTTTAGCTAGTTTGGATCCGAGCCATTCAGGGCTTTAGGTTAAAGTTAGCACTTTGAAATGTGCCTGGAAACGGATTGGCAGCCAGTGGAGCTGCTGTAAGAGGGGAGTCATGTGTTCACGGCAACCAGCCCTGGTTAACCACATTGACTATGGCATTTTGGACCTGCTGAAGTTTCTAAACATCTTCCAAAGGCAGAGCCATGTAGAGCATGTTACTATAATCCATCTGAGATGTAACTAAAATATGTGTCACCATGGCCAGATCAAACCTCTCAAGGAATGGATGCAGGTGGCACACGAGTGTTAACTGTGCAAAAGCACTCCCAGCCTCTGCTGAAACTTGGGCATCCCTGTGCAGAGACGAATCGAGGCGCTCCCCCAAGCTGTGACCCTGTGTTTTCAGAGGGAGCGTAACCCTATCCAGCACAGGCTGCATCCCGGTTCCTTGATCGGCCTTTTGGGTGACCAGGAGCGCTTCAGTCTTGTCTGGATTAAGCTTCAGTTTATTCACGCTCATCCAGTCCATGACTAAGCCCAGACACTGATTTAGATCTGGAACTTGGATTGAGATAGAAAAGAGAGATAAAGTTGAATGCCATCCACAAGCTGGTGACACTGGACCAAAAACTCTGGAAAACCTCTCCAAGCAGTTTCATGTAGATGTTAAATAGCATAGGGGACAAAACAGAACCCTGAGGGACACCACAGGCCAATGGCCAGGGTGCTGAACAGGAGCCCCCCAGCACCACCCTCTGACTTCAACCCCTCCCCACAGGAAAGGACTGGAGTCACTGTAAAGCAGTCCCATCCCATACAGACAGCCTAGAAGAATACTATGGTTTAAAAGGACTGAGAAGTGACACTATCCTGCCTGAGGGGATGGTGCAGCTGTTTACTTATTTATTAAAGGTATGCACCATCCAACTGGCAAAGGCCCTCAGAGAAGTTTGCAAGCATGAAAACACAAAGTCCCAAATTTTTTTTTTAAAAAAAAAACTAAGCCAGGCACCTCAGCATCAAAATGTTAAACTATTTGCAAGCAATGAGCAAAAGATAAAATTAAAATAAGATGAAGAACTAAATGCCTCTGTGAAGATTACAAAAAATAGCATAGGGTCTAAATGCAGTATATTTAATGGAAGAGGGCATACCTCAGATGGAGAGCAGTAGTATGGAAGGCCAAACTATACATGACAGACAGTCTGTCATCAGAGACCAACATCCACCAGTGTCCCAAAGCCATGATTCCTGCAGAACGTTGTGACTGAGCAATTGCATTTGCAAACGAAGCCGGTCCTTACTTCCCAATGACCAATCACAAAAGGCAAGCTATTTTGCAAAATATGAGAGTGTGAAAAGCTCCTCCCATAATGATCAGATGTTTTCAGGAATCAGGATATTTTCTCTTCTAACGCTGAGCTATCAGTTTGGCTCCAAGCAGGACTACAAGTACGACCATGGTATCTGTGGGGGAATCAGTGGTTTGGGCATCTGGCTATGGAGCCAGAGCTTGGGGGCTCGATTCCTCATTGTGTGTTCTTGATAGAGGCTGGACTCAATGACCCATAGGGTTCCTTCCAGCTCTGCAGTTCTAAAATGATGATGTAGATGATAATTTAGAGGTGGTGCTCTTGCTCTCAACATGCCAGTGGTGGCTTGTGCTCCTTGTAGATGGTGGAGCAGAAGGCACAGCAGAGAGAGACAGCCAGAGCAGGGGCAAAACTGGGTGTTTATATACGCACAACACAGAGGCAGGCAAGTAATATATAAGTAGCAACAGGAGAATTAAGGCAAGTAAGGTATATAAGTAGCAACAGGAGAATATTGATGAGGGGACAACCCTATGGTTCTGGTGAGAAGGCAGGGCAGAGAGAGTTGGCTGAGGGTAGTCCTGAAACTTGAGTTGATGCCATCCCCCTTTTGCCCTCATGGACCAGATTTCACTGGTCAAGCAGAGACACATTGGTAGGACATGGTGAAACATGTCAGCCTCCATGCTCTGGGCATGGATCCTGAAGAACTGTGTACCTTACACAACACTAAAGCAGATGAAGCCATGAAAAAAAATTCCCACATTTCTGGCTGTAGGCTTTGGAATTATTTTCAGAGTACCTTTCTAGACCCAACCCTTTTCCATTTTTCTTTGAGCGTATGTTACATTCCCAAGAGTTTAGCATTCCACTCCAATCCTGCAGCCCTTTTCGAGTGCAAGAGGTCCACTAAAGATATCCGAGAGAGAACTCTTGGTCCAACTTGAGAAGATCCACAGAATCAATGGGATTTACAATAAGAGTTGATTTGCCCTCCAGCAATTGATTCGGTGGATATTCTCTAGCTGAGATTAACAGCTGGGTTTAAGTCATGGGACGTGGTGGCGCTGCGGGCTAAACCGCAGAAGCCTGTGCTGCAGGGTCAGAAGACCAAGCAGTCATAAGATCGAATCCACGTGACGGAGTGAGCTCCCATCGCTTGTCCCAGCTCCCACCAACCTAGTGGTTCGAAACCATGCAAATGCAAGTAGATAAATAGGGACCACCTCGGTGGGAAGGTAACATCATTCCGTGTCTAAGTCGCACTGGCCATGTGACCACGGAAGATCGGCTTCGGACAAAACTCTGGCTCTATGGCTTGGAAACGGGGATGAGCACCGCCCCCTAGAGTCGAACACGACTGGACAAAAATTATCAAGGCGAACCTTTACCTTTACCTTTAAGTCATGGAGGTCCTACACCCACAACAACTTCCTTGTTCACTTCCATGAAACAGACAACTCCAGGCAGACAAAATACCTCAACAGAACTGAACGGGATATGCCGTTTGTACTGGAACACATTGCATATTTGCATGGAACTTAAGAGGAGAGCATATACAAGATATACGTAGCCATATGTGCACTTTTCTGAGCATATTCTTGATGGAATGTGGTGACAAAACTACAGAAACTAATTAGAATACTTTTCATAAGGCCTCTCACGCTACTACCTTTTCTCCTTAAAAATCTTGGCTCCACCGTTCTTCTCCTCTGACCTTGAGCTAATCTATGCTACTTAATTACAGTTCTTTAAAAGTCTACATGGCTCTCTAGATGATTTCTTTCCCTCTTCCAATCTTTGGTCAACTGCCAATTGTCAAAATTATAACGGGATGAAGAAATGCAAATGAAAATGCCTGCTTGACATATGCATGGCCCACATTAGGGTCGGCAAAGGCGGGGAAGCTACCTTAAAATAAAATGCAATCATTTCTTTAAGGTCACCTACGGACTTGAATTATTGACTTGGATGAAAATTCTAGAGGACTCATCTACTGGAAGCAGCCAAAACAAGGTGATCACCTGAGCTATTAAGAAGGACGTGGTGGGGGTGGGGAGAGCCCCGATGGAATGATATGCTAGACAGATTCCAAATTGAAAACTGTTAAGGAAACGAAGTCTTAGAGAACTGAAATACTTGTGAGTACCAAATCTTCGCTGAAGATCAGCGAAGCCACACGAAGTTAATATGGTATTTAAACACTGGGACTTTGGCCCCTTCACTCGCATAAATCCACAGTGTGGCCATTCTCTAATACAATATAACATAATTAATTTATGAAGTGTCTAAGTTGCTTAGGCAATGTGCAACGATAAAATGTGGCGGCTATGCATCATTTGCAAAATGGGTTCAACAGTCCTGTAATTCACAGGCTCATTGGGGGCTCCATACGCAACAAACATTGCAAAGGCTGTATATATCCCTCACTGAAATGTTAGATAGAGGCAATAAAGAGACGTGAAACCATCATAAAATGCAACGGGTCAGTGTGGAATGACGGCATTGAACCGAGCTGAATAGTCAAGCAAAGTGTGTGAGCCACAGGGAGCAGGAAAAGTTCCATTAAGACTAGAGAATTTGAAAACACACGTTCATTCCAACCATGTGTAAACCAGAAAATTCACTGTAGATGTGCTTATGGTTGGGATGACATTGGCCAGATTTTTAAAAAAATGGAATAAAAGTGTGATTCTATTGTTCTGGCTAACAAAGAAATATGTGGACCAGTTTGTAATTCTCTATTCTTGAATATTTAAGCAGTCCAAAGGTATATGTCAGTCATTAGATGACCATATACATCTAGTCAAGACAGCAACACATTAGCTGAAATCCTGTTGCACAACTTTACACCATGTAAGGCTGATGCCACAATTGGCTATTTTGGGGGGAGGAATTAAAACCTTTTTATTCCCTTCTCCCCCAAAATCATGAGACTCTCTTGGGATCTCTGGGGAAACCTTTGGGGGCTATGGGATGGGGGCAGTTTTTAATGTCATCACCATTAGATCATCAACCTTACATGGCATAAAGATGGGCAATAGGATCTCAGCCATTGCCACATAATCTAAGATATAGGAGTAGCTAACTATAGCCACTGGGTGATCTATTAATCATTGGAGTCAATGGCTGTTAAACATGATCAAGGATGCAACGCATATTTGCTAAATCCTTCCTTCTCACTTATTTAGGCTATCCGAGGAAACATTTTGTCAACGGATTTTCAAGTCCTTGCCTCTAGGGAACAGCAATACAAAGAGTGCTGTTTTTTTTTCACAGAGCTTACATAAATATTATGTCCTTTTCTTCAAAAAGGATAGCATGTGCACATACACACAGCAAACATACAATGACTGGCTAATTGTTTAAAAGATGTACACAATCCTCTAATGCTCCCAATCCTCAACAATCAATGTTACAAAACAGTGTCAACTGTCATTTAATGCAATTTGCACTAAAATAATTGCTCAAATTGTTAAAAAAAAACACCACACATTCTGATTCTCTTCTCTTGTCAACACTGTGTCCATCTCACTGGAAAGATTTAAAAGATTACATGTTGAGAACAAGACAAATGGGGATTTATGTCCCACATTGCCACAGTGCAAAAAAGTGAGGTTTCTAAACTCTGGCCATAAGGATGATAGGTCTATCATCCGAACATGATTGCTGAGAGGGAATGGTAGAGGAGAACTGTAACCTTTAGGCACTGATTTAGGGCTTCAGAGAGATATTATTGGGCTACTCTAGGAGGCAAGATGGTGCACCGGGTGGACCTTTTGTAGCCGGAATCTTCTGATGTTCTTATGCCAGGCTCTGAAGAAGAGGAGAACTAATTCAAGAAGACCTTGGGCTTGTGTTCCTCTTCATGTTCCATAGAGGAACAATCCATGGCCTGCAGGTACCCTTCAGCTAAGCAACTGGGAGCCCCTCAGCGGCTCCTCAATACCCACTGACCTCTTCCTTATCCGGCCACTGCCCAGTCACTGTCCTAAGCCATTCCTTATAGCTGTTGTCCCACCCCAATGATAGGCTGACACTGAGAACTACCACATTGCAGAGCTTGGATCGAGTATGATACTATAAAGTTAAAATCACTACTTTCGCATGAAACAGGACAGCAGACAAACGGATGCCACTGAACTTTCAGGAACAACATCTGAAAGCAATATTTCATCTGTATTTGCAAAACATACTTTTTAGAGGATTAGATGCCCGTCTTCTGCTTCTTTTTTAGTTCAGAAGTCATGATTGGGACATTCATGCTTAGGTGTTATTTCCAAATTTTGCCATGGCTTCTTCTTTTGGAGCACCGCTAAAGCTATTGGATATCCTGCTGGTTCAGGACTGAGAGAATCCCTATGGTCAAACTAGACTACCCCACTTTGCATGATGTAAAAACCTGAAGCGAAACTTCCTTAAATGCACTTGTTGCACACAAACTTTTGTCACATCTCATAACTGCAAGTTTAGCTCGCGCTGATTTGTGATTGGTCACTGAAAGGTGAACATGGGCTTAATTTCCATTCTCCAGACACATAGGAGTCAAAGAATCATGTAGCTGCTCTCAGCGTCTAAAAACAAAGCTGGTGGTAAGTATAGTTAGACCCATATATTGTCCCATCTACTCTTCATATGTTAGAAAATAATTTGGATATGCTGGCATATCTAAGGATTTTGGATGCTAGCATGTACAAATTAAGTAGATTTTGATTTTTTTTTTTAATGCTAGCATCCTCTCTCCCACTTGGATTACAAAACCATGCACCTTGATTCACCACATAGTTTAAATGCTTACCTTTTGGAGGCTGGTGAATCATTTCACTCCGTGTCACGTAAATTGTGATTAGAGCCATCAGGACAGACACAGAAGGAATAAGAAAGCCAAGGTGTTGGGCCACTGACTGCTGGATGTACGAAATGCTGACAAAAACCATGGCCGAACTTAAGTTTAACAGCCAATAAAACCTAGGAGGGAAAAAAAATTTTTGGACAAAAGTTAGTTTGGGGAAGGATCTCACGAACACCAATTATTCATTAGAAGGAGCTTGTTTCTTTTCAAATGGAATTTGTCAGGCAGCTTTGGCCATCACAGTCCTGGGCAGATAGCCAGACACATTTTCACTTCTGAATTTGGCTAGCGGTGCTTCTGTTTCAGACCCTGTAGGGAGGGGGCATGTAGGAACCGCGCACCGTCTGTATACATATTGGGAGCCGGGGATCGACATGGATATTTAAGATAGACCTAATTAGCCTGATAGAAGTGTGCTTTCTTTTTCCCCTCTCTCTCTCCCTCTCTCCATTTCTCCCTCCCCAACCCTCAGGGCTATTTCCCCCCCCCCCCTTGCTCTTCGGTGCCAGGGTGTAGCTGATCAGCATGCAGAAAACTATTGTGTGAATACCAAAGCGAGAAAGTGCCACATGCTTGCTCCCCAGAATTTGGAGATCCATCCTTCCTCCTTGCTCCTCTTCTCACGCCATGTTGCCTGAGAGACTGAGCATTTTTCTTTGCAGAGAGCAAAGTAATGTGGAAAAGCCGAAAGGAGAAAACCAGGTGCTACAGCAACCAGGTGGAAATGAAGGCCAGAAGGCTTTAGCATTCAAAACCACCACTGGGTCAGTTTTCCTGGAAAGCCTGTCCTCCACGAATATATGGAAGATATTTATCCTGAAGAAGAATTTGAAGTCCTTCATACCTTTCCTCCAATAAGCCAGAAATAAGAACAAACATCATGATGACTAGTTACCAAGGATCCTTGTTTTAAGCAAGCCAATCTACAGAGCTTCCTGTGTGCTAATGAAAGTTTTCCTTTACAAGATTCTCACTAGCCTGTCATTCAGGATACTGTAAATAGGTAAGGCAGCAAGCCAGCTCCACTCCCATCCACTCATTGTGCCAATTTACACCCCCTTCCCTGCCTGAGTCCCGTTCATGATGACTAGTTACCAAGGATCCCTGTTTTAAGCAAGCCAATCTACAGAGCTTCCTGTGTGCTAATGAAAGTTTTCCTTTACAAGATTCTCACTAGCCTGTCATTCAGGATACTGTAAATAGGTAAGGCAGCAAGCCAGCTCCACTCCCATCCACTCATTGTGCCAATTTACACCCCCTTCCCTGCCTGAGTCCCCTTATCAGGAGAAAGGTGACCTATAAATAAGACAAATGAACAAATAAATAAGATAAACCCTAATTGGCTTCCAGTCTTTGAGTCCTGATGACAAAAGAAAGCCAAATTACTCGTATAACTGGTACCTTAGAAAGTTCATTGTATAGATCAGTGGTTCCCAAACTTGGGTCTCCAGGTGTTCTTGGACTACAACTCCCAGAAATCCTAGCCAGCGCACCTAGTGGGAAAGGCTTCTGGGAGTTTCAGTCCAAGAATATTTGGGAACCCAGCCGCCTAGAGTGGTCATATCGACCAGATAGGCGGGATATTAAATAAATAAATAAATAAATAAATAA